TCCTGCAGCTTAGTTTAAGAGGGCTTTGAAAGTTCAACCCAAACCTAGGCAATGAATTAGCCAGAAAAAGCATTTCACACACACACACACAAAAGGAATAAAGGGGGAGGAGGAAGAAGAAAAGAAGGGAAAGACACACACAAACAGCACAGTAAAGCACGAGGCAGACCCCTGCCCTCCTTCCTAATCAGTGGAATGTTCATCAGTACGCCAGGGAGGGAGGCTTTCTGCAAAGGCCTGGACATACGCCCAAAGCTCACAGTAGTTTTACGTTTGCCAGCCCTGGAAAGAAACTTTCCATTCTTGATAGACTAAGAAGCGGATACAAATGAGAAACTTAAGATTTCAAAAAGGAAAGCAACATCGCAAAATCATGACAGAGAAAACAGGATTACTGGCCAACAGCTTTTCCATCTTCCCCTGCCTGGCTCCACTCCTGAGGTCTAGCTTACACACTAACCAGAACTGAGCGGGAGTATGTAAAGAACCCTACTACTGAAGGGAAATCCTGGTTTGAAGTCACAAATTTACAGGAAAGGAGTGACTGTCAGACTAGAGAAGCCGCTTGGCTCTGTGCACAAAACAGGAAAGGAGGCTTGCAGGAGGAAAACCTGACTTCTCATCCTAGCTGTGCCACCTGTGAACTAAGGGAACCGGGACAGGTCCGCTAACGCCACTGACCCCTATCTGGAGAAGAGACATAAAAATACCTGCCTTCATCCACCTGACTGATTAGTTGTGATTTCAAGTGACACAATGACAATAAGGACATTTTGAGGCACCTGGAGAGAGAGACAATTGTTAAGTCTGCAACTACTTGCCAAAAGTCACAAAAGGAAGAGACTGAAAGAGGTAAAATAAAATGGTTTGCTGAAAATCAATCAGCACTCATGGAAATCAACTCAAAAGAATTTGCTACCTATCATAGGAAAAATGACATAGAATACAAACTGTGCTGCAACGCATACGGCTCCGGGCCCGATGGAAGATGATAATCACCGTGAACAAATGCTGAGTGCACATGTATGGTGCACACGCACGCACACATGCACACGTGTGGGCACACACATGCATACGCGTGCACAGATCATGCACACATGTGGGCACATATGCACACACACCCTGAGGCATCCTCCCTGGGACAGATCAATGCAAAGACATCAAATTATAGTATTACCTCGAAGAGGCTCTTCCAGTGTCCGGCCGCGGGCCGGCCTTAGTGACTGGGGCGCTGGGCCCCGGGGCCGCGGCGTGGGGCGGGCGGGCGGACAGACTCCCGGCCTCGGACTGCCGTCGTCGGCCTCCGAGCTCGCCTGGAGCGAGCAGCCGCCGCGGAGCCTCCTCGCCCGCTCCCCCTCTGTCATCAGGCACAAGCAGTCACTCTCCTATTTACCACAATGTGAG